TCCTCCACACCACCTCCAAACCCTCAAACCCTTTCGCCTCCACCCCACCCTCCTTCAAATCCTTCCACACCTACCTCCACCCTCTCACACCTTTCCATTCCTCCCCCCCTTCCCCTTCCATCCTCCCCCTCAAAACCCTTCCACCCCTCCCCCTCCCCCTCCCTTCCATCCCCTCAAACCCTTCCACGCCTCCACCTCCACCCCCCCTCCCTGCCCCATCTGTCTCTCCCCACCTGCGCCCGCGTCGAGCCTCGGGCACAAGCACCAGCGACTCTCTTTCCTTCTCTCTGTTTCCTCTATTTCCTTCTCTCTGTTCCTTCTCTCTGTTTCCTCTCTCTTTCCTGCTCTTTGTTTCCTATCTCTTTCCTTCTCTGTTTCCTCTCTTTTTTCTCTTTCCTTCTCTCTGTTTCCTATCTTTCCTTCTCTCTGTTTCCTCTCTTTTTTCCTCCCTCTTTCTTATCTTTCCTGCTCTCTGTTTCCTCTCTTTTTCCTTCTCTGTGTTTCCTCCCTCTTTCCTTCTCTCTATTTCCTATCTTTCCTGCTCTGTTTCTCTCTTTTTCCTTCTCTCTGTTTCTATCTCTTTCCATCTCTCCGTTTCCTCTCTCTTTCCTTCTTTCTGTTTCTTTTTTTCGTTCACGTTCGTCCTTGGTAATCGTAGTGGCCTTTTGGGATCATTGTTTTCTTTCTCTCTCTTTCTTTCCTTCTTTCTTTCTTTCTTTCCTGCTTTCTTTCTCTTTCTTTCCTTCTCTTTCTTTCTTTCTTTCTCTTTCTTTCCTTTCTTTCTTTCTTTCTTTCTTTCTCTCTTTCTTTAATAATTTTAGTGATTGGTTTAGAAGGGATGTTAAGGTGGGATTGTTCTGCCGGGGTGGGGGGGGGGGGGGTCGGTGGTGCTGGCAGGTGTGGGGGGGGAGGGGAGGGGGAATGGTTAAATTAGGGGCAAGGAAAAGTAGGAGACAGGATAGTTATGGTGGTGGTAGTAGTAGTAGTAGGAATAATAGTAACAGTAGTTGTAGTTGTTGTTATTGTGGTAGTAATAGTAGTTGTGGTAGTAATAGTAGTTGTGGTAGTAGTAGTTGTTGTAGTAATAGTTGTAGTTGTTATAGTAATAGTTGTTGTAGTATTAGTAGTAGTTGTAGTAGTAGTAGTAATAGAGGTAGTATTAAATGTTGTAGTAGTAGTAGTAATAGAGGTAGTATTAAATGTTGTAGTAGTAGTAGTTAGTAATAGAGGTAGTATTAAATGTAGTAGTAGTAGTAGTAGTAAGAGGTAGTATTAAATGTAGTAGTAGTAATAGAGGTAGTATTAAATGTTGTAGTAGTAGTAGTAGTAATAGAGGTAGTATTAAATGTTGTAGTAGTAGTAGTTGTTGTAGTAATAGTATTTGTTGTTATAGTAGTAATAGAGGTAGTAGTTGTGGTAGCAGTGAAACTGTTTCTGGTAGAGGCGGTTGTAATTATACCAGAGTATTTGTCTTGCGAGCAGCACTGGCGATTTCACGGGTTACTATTTTGTTAGCATTGTCTGTCTTTTCTTTTGTTTTCTATTTATTCGAGTTGTCTTAGTCTTGGTTGTGCAGACTGGAACATGTTTTTTCTCCGTCGACTTCTTGATCTTTCTCCGGCCTCTTTCTTCCCTTTTCTCCGTCTCTCTTTTTCCGTTTCGTTTATATTCCCCTCTTCGTCTCTTTTGCTCGTTCCCTTGTTTTTTTTTCTCTGTTCTCTGGCTCTCTCTCGCTCTCTCTTCTCTATCCTATCTCCCCTGTCCCTATTCAGCTCTCCCTATCCTCCTCCCCTTCCCCTCCTTCTCCCTCTCCTCTCCTCTCTCCCTCTCCCTCTCCCTTCCCTTCCCTCTCCTTCCCCTCCTCCCCCTCTCCTTCCCTCTCCCTCTCCCTTCCCTCTCCTTCCCCCCTCTCCCTCTCCCTCTCCCTCTCTTCCTCCCTTCTCCCTCTCTTATCCCCTGCTCCATCAGCCCCGGGTCCCGTGCGCCGCCCACTCACAACCCAGACTCGGGGGGTGCGGTGAGCGAGGACTGGGCTCCGTGCGTGAGCGGCCGAGGGCTGGCCGGCCTGCGTCTCTCGAGGGGGGTCTCTCCGCTCGTCGTGCAGGGGGACTGGTCTGGCAGGGCGTTGGGTCGGTGGGGGTGTGGGGGATTGGGGGATTTACCGGGATGACGAAGGGCGTAACGTCATGCTAGTGTGTCACAGCGTCACAATAAGGTAACGGGGAAGGGAGAGGCGTGTGACGGGGACAGAATGGCATGTAGGTAATCGCGGTTTTGCGCACTCCGGCGGGGCCTTCGAGAGAGAGAGAGAGAGAGCGGCGCGTCCGAGAGGCTAATATTTATGCTATTACGGGGAGCGTCGTATTACGGGACAGAAGAGCAGCATTATGATCGCCCCTTGTCTACTCCGATGGGTCTTCGAGAGAGAGAGAGAGAGAGAGAGCTCAATGGTTGTGGAGTTTCGGAATTTAGTTTTCCGTCCGCCGGGTTGCGTGCGTGCGTGCGTGCGTGCGTGGGGGCCGGCGAGGACAGTCGGAGGGGGACGCAGTGACGTGTTGCAGAGGACCGTCGCCGCCCCCGCACGCGACGGAGACTGGCGGCCAACTGCTGTCTTGTGTCATGGAGTCTCCCCTCAAGGCCTCGAGCCAGCCCCTGGATGATATGACAGTCACGTTATTTGTAATGGGCGAGAGGAGGGATTCCGTGGCGTTTATCCCCCTTCGGATTCCTGGAACGAGAGGCGCGCGATGCCGGTTTCGTGTCCGTGGAATCCAGGGAAGTCCTTCGGAAAATCGGCGCTCCTCGTCCAGGGGATCGGGGGCTGAGGGCGACGACGGCGGCGGCGCAGAGGGTCGCTTTGCTCGCGGCTGGATTCCCTTCGTTCGAGAGTGCAGGAGAGGGGGAGGGGAATCCGCCCATGTGCTGCGCTACTCTTGGAACTTCCTGTGTTTGTATAACAGGGAAGTGCTGGCGACGTTTCCGGCCGAGGGAGCAAGTGTGCTGCCTCACGGTGGTCGCCGGGGGAAGGCGACCCCCGGAGCTTCCTCCGAGTCTCATGCTTTGCGCAGCTCAGGCGACACACTTAATTCCATAATTCGCCGTTTGTGTGTCAGCATCCCCCCCCTCCCCTCCCCCTCCCCCGGTGCCCCCTGCGCTGCTCTTGTCGGGCAGAACGGCGAGGCAGCATCTCTCGCGACGGCGGCGCGGAGCTTGAGCCACTGACCCCGATGGTTAGCGGTTACCCGGATGTTATCGTTCTTTCCCGCTTTCTTGCGTTTCGCTCAGCGCGCTCGCCGTGTGGAGAGCAAACGACTCGGGAGGATAACGCACGCTTGATTACCACGACGACGACGACGACGACGACGCGGAAACGGACGGGCAGGCAGACCAGGGGACGGGGACGGAAAGCAACGAGCAAAAAGCCGCGATGACGAAGGGAAGAGGGAGGCTTGGAGGAGGCGGGGCGGCGTCCGTGGGAAAGGAACGGGCGCCAACTGGCACTGCGTCGCCGCCAGCAGAACCCCAGCGTGAATGCGAGCGTGTGTCGTTTCCTGTGTGCGTCGCGGTTCGGCCCAGCGTGCGTGCGCATTTCGCCCTCGTGTCCTCGTGTCCTATCGAGCGACTCGTTGGCTCGTTTTCCGCCCTGCCGTTGCGCTCGTGGTGACTCCTGTCCGCCTTGCCGTTGCTCTCGTGGTGCGTCGTGTCCGCCCCGCCATTGCTCTCGTCTCGTCGTCGGAATACTCGATCCCGGGAGGGACTTCAACGCGCCGCAGGGAGGTATCGGAGGGAGAGAGGAGAGCTGTTGTCCCCGCGAGGCTAGAGTCCTGTGTCCTGTGTGTCCTGTGCCCTGTGTCCTGTGTCCTGTGTCCTGTGTCCTGTGTCTTTTCAAGCTAATGGGTCCGGTGCAGCAGCTGATAAAAAAAATGTTGATTGGGCGAGCCTCGTGCGACGGTTGGGCTCGAGAGCTAATGGGGTAATTAGTATGCATTTGTGAGGCGCCTTTCTCAAATGTGTTTAAGTCTTCATTCAGCTGACTGCAGTGATTTCTAATGCACTTTCAGTAAATGAATATATATTTTTATTACTCTCTCTCTCTCCTCTCTCTCTCTCTCTCTCTCTCTCTCCTCTCTCTCTCTCTCTCTCTCTCTCTCTCTCTCTCTCTCTCTCCTCTCTCTCTCTCTCTCTCTCTCTCTCTCTCTCTCTCTCTCTCTCTCTCTCTCTCTCTCTCTCTCTCTCTCTCTCTCTCTCTCTCTCTCTCTCTCTCTCTCTCTCTCTCTCTCTCTCTCTCTCTCTCTCTCTCTCTCTCTCTCTCTCTCTCTCTCTCTCTCTCTCTCTCTCTCTCTCTCTCTCTCTCTCTCTCTCTCTCTCTCTCTCTCTCTCTCTCTCTCTCTCTCTCCTCTTTAATTCAAGGGCGAACATTAACCTTGTAATAATTAGTTGTGTTCCAGTCAATTAGTTACCTTGCGGGCTCCTGGTGATTCGTGACGTTCAAGTAATTACAGCTTTTATTACTGCTACTACTACTTTTCTTCCTATACTACTGAGGTTGACTACTACTACTACTACTATTACTACTACTACTACTATTGCTATTACTATTACTGCTTCTACTACTGCTACTATTACTACTATTATTATTACTACTACTGCTATTACTATTACTGCTACTACAACTATTACTATTACTATTACTACTACTATTACTACTGCTACTAATACTATTGCAACTACTATTGGTATCACTATTACTATTACCATTACTATTATTATACCTTTTACTATTCGTCCTATACTACTGACGTTAAGAGTGTTATGTGTATATGTGTATCCCCGGGCACGTATAGAAGCGCAGTGTTAAAGACCTTTTCTATTAGGAGACTTACGTACGTGGAATATAAAGGTCTCCGGTGCAAAAACGGAAGTGTTAATTCTGTTCAATATTCTGTTCAGCGTCAGTGCAGAAAAAAAAGGACGAAGTGAACAAAGGAAAGACTGGAACA